TAATACCTAACCCTAACGTTCGTGGTTCGACTGGTCGAGACTGTTTTCCAAGATGGCTCCTGCCTGTATACGCGAAGTGTACTGTCTTTATAAAGCATCTTCTTATTAAACGGTCTGTACACTTACAAAGTTCTCAATGCTTCGGTTTGCATGTAGGGTTCCTCATTATGCTACCGTGTTAGTGTGGGGCTATTTTGAGCCTTGTTATGCCCTACTAGCGTTATAAGCTAAACAGCTTTTAGAGATAAAATCTCTTTACATTCGATTATAATGAAAACAAATCTCAGAGAACGGTCGACTCGGTACCAATGTGTTATTACACCATAGGTTAATTTTGCGCCGGAGTTGTCCTTTAAGTGAATAGTTGGGAGATGAGTCGTATGTGTAACAGTTTATTGGATGTGTGGTATTAAAGTATTTAATTAAACAGTTCAGACTACTGAAACTTTGGTAATGGGACATCCCTAACGGCAAGGGTGTTTCTAATACGTCTGATGGCAAACTTGACATTTTCCCTCTCTATTTCTGACATATTTCATAATCAATCTGGTTATTTTTTCCTCTTTTGAAAAGTCATAGAAATGCTTCCATGGACTTTTTCCTTTTGCTATTGGAGCACCACCTGTTTACCACCATAGAAATGTACCCAACTATGATGATGACTTCTGGTTCGAGAACCCCAGAAATGTGAAAAGCTTCACTTTTTTACTTGAGAAAAAAAATACCTTCCTAATTTTCCTACGACCAAAACAATGATACAAACACAAGACCTCAAAAGATCAGTGTGTTATCTCAGCACAAGACGGCTGCTCAGAGAAAAGGAGTTTGGTATTGTCCATTATCTTCACTGAGGACAGAGTTCAAGAGTTCAGATGGAGAGAGGAAGAGGATGGTCATCGCAATCTGACGAATAGCTGCTTATGGTCACCAAACAAAGCTGAAGCTGTAATCCTTAACCATAATCCACTGGGGCTGACTTATTACCACAAACAAGCTGAAAAGAACCAACAATTGGATTAAGAGAAACAGTGTCACACATACTTAATTTAGAATTAAGTGTTTTCTATTTAAAAAAGGAAAAGAAAAAAAAAGTAGGCCTATCTTTCTCAATCCTGACCGTGAGCACAAATTTCACTGTCAGCAGCAAAATATCATTCCCTTTCAAATAATTCCTACCTCAGGATTTGTCCCGAAACAATAATCAAATCTGTCGACCATAAGTCGATAAGTAACTTCAGAGGTTTGATAAGTCAAACTGATCCCAAAGATCCTGAATTCCAAAGAACACAGTAAATCTTTGAGGCTGAGATTAAACGGAGCGGTCAGCTGTAACTCCTAATCCAAGATTTGGGATCCTGCAGTTAATCTCAGCCTGATTGCCACTTCTGCTGAAATTTCAGTGGTTTAAGACCAAAGTTTGGTCAGTGTACTTAAGAATTCATCAGCAGCGGTAAGACGGCAAAATAACGTCTATAAAGTGGTCAGTTTTCGCTGTTGATTTATCTGTTATTTTAAGACACGAGAGCCTTGTCAACAACAACAACAACAAAATCCTTAAAGTCCCCATGAATTCAAAATTGACCATACTTACTTTAGCCGCTTTCCGACCGGAGGGACTTTTGCAGTTCCTAGAACCTAACGTTCCTATAACACTTTTTTTCGCGTGTTCCGACCGGACTAAGTTGGGGATTTTTTAGTTCCTCAGACCGTAGTTCCTATAACTCTTTCAGTACCTAGTCTAGAGCGAGGACTTTTTTAGTTCCCTTTCCCTAGGTCTACATTGATTGGTTCAACTTATAAGTCACGCCCACTGTCAACACATTTTCTTCACTGTCTGTTGCAATTCGCCTATGTATGCTATGCTAACTCATAACTTAAGACATACATAACGCATTCAACCAGCTAATTGTTAATGCTTGCTAAACTTACCCGTCATTTTGTTTGCCTCCTGCGCTCTGCTCTTCTATCTTCTTCCATCATATTACTTAAGATCATATTACGCTGGAGCCTTCGTCTTCTGTGTTTCTCTGTACAGAACTCAAGATCTTTAAACGCCGCCGTTCTTACTCGTTATTAAGGTCCCGGCAAGGCAGAACAGGAACATTCCGATAGCCTCCTCCACGCTGGTTTGTTGTTGTTGTATGTGGCGCCGCCGCCGCCGTGCTTGCATCACTCCCTTACCCCTCCTACCAGTTACTATGGCCACTTGGCCAGTGCGAACGCAAACAACAAAACCGAGTTTGGGGGAGAGTAGTTCTTAGAACTGTTTAGAAGTGGACAGTTCCTATAACTAAGTTCCTGTAACTACTTGGTCGGAAAGCGGCTTATGTTTGCCTAAATTGATCGTTTTGTGGTGAACAATTCATCCATGTAAGTCAATCCACACAAAAAATTTTTTTGGCTTCGTAATAATCAAAATCTGAAATTTCCCCTCCCCTCTGCATTGGAGGACCTTCCCTGATGTAGGTTTGACGGTTTGGGTGTCTGCTTAACATCCGTAACCACGCCCCTCCAACTGACAGTAGACAGGCTGAATGAAAACACCTACTTTTCTAGATCCAATCAGGTGCTAGTTGGAAAAAAAGCCACGCCCACTATTTTGCCTCATTTAGTATTCCGTTTCTCTCGGAAACACGTCACAACACTGGAGAAAAGTCGTTTGCAACTTCCGGTTCACGGGGACTTTAAAGGAATGTTGCCATTCTTTGGAAATAATTCCTAATGGGATTAAACTGGAATTCTCTATGAACTGACATTATAATAAATAAGTATTTATGCACCTATATTAATATTTATTGAATAAACTTGGACATTTTTTAAATATAGATATGATTTCTACTACATTTTAGAATTTAATTATGTATATAATTTAAAAATAATACTGTAAGGTTTTAGAAGGTTATTGTTTGATCTTATTAGGACTAGTTTCAAATTATAAAAGAATTCCATTGGCCTTTAGGGGCCGTTTACACGACACCGTTTTCAACTAAAAACGGAAAACTTTATACGTTTTGGCCGTTCATTTACACAACAGCGTTTTGGGGGCCTGAAAACGCAAGCTTTTGAAATCGGATTTCAAAGTACAAGCATTTGTAAACGATAGCGTTATTGTCTTTGTGTAAACTACAAAACTGCTAATTTGTGCAAATTATGACTTCATGCGGATGCATATTATGTGTTCAGTCTATAGGCACGTAGCTTCTCTTTACAAAGTGACATCGCCAACTACTGGCCTGGCATGAATAATACAACGTTTTTAGTCGTTTTCGCGGATCTGTGTGAACGGGGATCGTTTTGACGACGTTGTCACCTGTATGCGAAAAAGGAAAACCGTTTCCGTATTAAGAACATCGTTGTCGTGTAAATGCAGCCTCATTCCTTTAGGGCTTTAAGTGTCACTTCATGGAACTATAAAGCCCAATTTATACTTCTACGTCGAACTCACACTGTAGCTACGTCGTAGGCTGTGTGTAGCGCGCGTACCCTTCGGCGTACCCTGACGTGCACCTCTCCAAAAATGTAACAACGCGTCAATTCTACGCGGACGCAAGCGCTGTGATTGGTCTGCTAGAACCTCTCCCCGGGTTTCACATGCTCCCTCTGCATGTGTAATTGCGCACGTCAACGACGCAGAAGTATAAATGAAAACCAACGCGTAGTCTATAGCGTAGAGGCTCCGGCGTAGGTCCGACGCAGAAGTATAAATCAGCCTTAAGGCAGAGAACTACATTATATCAACCCCCACTGAAAACACCATTAACATGCTTTAAAATAAAATGAAATACCGGACTAAGGAATCATTTTACGGACACTGCTCAGGCTCAAACTGCAATCGGTTCATGTGTCAGAACGTCCTGTTCACTTTCTCACAGACATCATCTCAAGTTCGCTGAAGACTGAAATGTTCTCCTAAATTCTACTCTCTGAATTAGCAAAAAGGCCTCAATTAAAGAAACCTCCAAATCATCCACTTGTGGGGTTTTCATTTAACGTCCTCGTGTTTGTGTGTTCACATATGCCTGTGTGCACGGGGGAAAAGGCAATTAGGCTTGAGTGCAAACAAAATAATGACTGGGGACTCATTAACACAAGCTGCCCACTGTGTGCACAGGAACAATTCATGGAAACGACACAATTAAGCCTCTACAGGGAGGGAACCAGGCAACTGGTGTGCAAACAAGCATCTCCGACCCTACCTGAACCAGAATACATTCAGAAATGCTTTCATTTAGGCATGCGACCTGGAAACCTGACATCTGAATCATGCGATATAGGCCAAACTGTGAAAGAAACCTGCCAAAGATCAAGAAACAAACACATTAAGCAGCCACTGCGATCTATCCATCCATTTAGCACATACACAAAGACATCTTCTAAAATGTCTCTGGTAATCCAGGTGAAAAATCTTGTATAGATTCATATTACTGGAAAGAACAACACTGCATTGATAAAGATTAGTTAGGCCTAAACGTTGCTTTCTGAGACTCATTTTGACAATGCTTTCAAAACAATATGCTTTATGTACGTCTATCAATGTCAACAATGAATACACTTCTACTAAAAACAAGCAGATCCAGTTTTTGCAGGAGGATACAGACTGAACAACACTAGTGAGGCGAGACAATGAGAAACTGGCCATCTTTAAAACACACATTGGCACAATAGTGGACAATAGTGCACAAACTATGTGGACTTCGTAGCTCCATACAAAACTTACATTAATGTAAGTGGACATACGAGAAGAAAAAACATGGTATTGCCATTGTACATGTAAAAAAAAACGCACCTTTGTGCATGTGCAGCATGGTATTACCATGGTCTATGCCCCAAAACATGGTATAATCAGGGTTCATGTCCACAAAAACATTACAGTACTATATACAAACAAATAAAATGGTAATAACATGGTATTTTCTGTTACATCAAAAGTGATACAATGTCCATAACACCTGCTTTGTGACAATCAGCATGAATAAAGCCTAGGAGAATGAAACACTTACCGAGTGCCTGGCTTGTGGAAACATCATATCAGCCTGTTTTTGTGCTTTATTCTTCCTCTGTAGATGATATGAAAAAGCTTTGGATTGATGTTCTCTTTGTTCGGTCTCGATTAGGTCTAAACTGATCAGTTTGAAGGTAGAAAGGTCTTTAGTCTGGTCTCCTGAACAGATTTCCTGGCTATGATCTCCAGCTTTCCTGGATTTTTGTTCAGCACTGCAAAACCTACATCAACTTCAGACGACTTTGCCTTTAGAATAACAAAAACAGAAGATTATCTTTACTAAAGTTTGTGACATTGCGGTTTCACATACGAAAAATGAATCTTCTTTTGGAATAGGCCAATCTCAGCGATTAATCCACTGCCAGGCTGATCATACTTGCCCAATTTCCAGCTACAAGCTAACTGGCTAAAGCTAACAGATGCGTCTATATTGAAGAAAGTGAGCAGAATGCGTTTGAAAATGAGGTAAAAGCGTCTAAACCTGGTCGTGTGTAAACTAGTCTTGCGTATATCTGTCTATATGCGGTGAAATAATAGCCTGTGTTCGAAAAATCATGCCTCTTCCGCCGCTTCTGGACTCGTATGTACGGACTCGTGATGCAAGACGCCAAACAACGGATTCTACTACGGTGAAGGCTTTCCTCATGAATATTAATTGCTCCGTGCTCACGTTGCCTGGTAACCTTCCGGGAGCGTATGTTTACATCACCTAATTAATATTCAATGAGTGGTCTGGCTTGCTGCTGGGTCTCCGATACAAAATCTAAATCTAATATTTAACCTTCCAGTGTTGCGAAAAGTTTCTTTTTTTGCACTTCTTTGTTTTATTTTTGTCACAAAAATGCAAGTATGCAGTGACGTGGGGTTTTACAGTAACTGTATATGTAATAAAATGTGCTTCGGAAGATTCCGTTTGTAATCATTAGTTGTCATGAGGACTTTTCTCTATATCTAGAGCAAATTTTATAACGAGAACTGTTGGGCACTATTCAAATTTAAATAATAAATTCAAGCGTTCGCTTTCCAGCCAATCCGACAGGCCTACCAGGCGCACGTCATGTTGCGTCATTAATATTCATAAGATAAGCCTTTATCGTAGTAGGATTTGTACCTTGGTGCGTTCGCATGCGGGATTTAAGGTGGCGCTCAGTAGGCCCATTTTAAGATGTCAAATGGATGAAATAACAGTAACACCGGAAGTGTCTGTCGGGTGGAAGGTCTTGGAATTTCGCTGCTTTTGTTCCCGGTCAATGCACAGCGACTCCAACCTGTAATACAGGCAACTGCACCCATGGGACCATTTCCACTGTAGTGAACATGTTATTTATTAATAGCACTAGGGCCAGACATATTCCTGGAGTATTAAAGACGTCATCATGTGATGTATAATATAATATAGCTAATATTATATCATATAATACTCAAATATATATATATATATATCATAATTTTGTTATTTGCATATTATATTATAAATCACAGGATTATAGTATATATATGTATATATATATATATATATATATATATATATATATATATATATATATATATATATATATATATATATATATAATGCATTTTTGGCTTGGTATCATGGGGTTACATAGACATTACACATTTTCGCCATTGGGTTTATTTTCAGCATTTCTACAAACACTACCTAATGCATATTAAACAACTTTTAAAAACAAGCAATTAAAAACAACATTATAAATAACGAATTACACTACTGAAACACTTGTAAATGCATGTAATTCCCCCTATAAGGTGTTCTTAAAGGGATAGTTCACCCAAAAATGAAAATTCTGTCATCAATTTTACTCACCCTCAAGCCGTTCTAAAACCGTAAGACTTTCGTTCATCTTCAGAACATCTTTGGAACACAAATTAAGATCTTTTTAATGAAATCTGAGAGATTTCTGTCCCTAATATACGCAACTACCACTTTGATGCTTCAAAAAGTTCATAAAGAGATCGTAAAACTAATCCATATGAATTGAGCGGTTCAGTTCAAATTTTCTGAAGAGACGCGATCGCTTTATATGATGAATAGATTGAATTTAGACTTTTATTTATAAATTGAAATAAAACAGTGAATATAAACAGAAGCTCAACCGAACCTGCTTGATGCACGAGAACAAACCTCTTGCTGAAGCTCAATCATGCTGCGTAACACAAGAATGAACCTCATTGGCTCTTGCTGAAGCTCAAACGTGCTGCGTAACACAAGAATGAACCTCATTGGCTCTTGCTGAAGCTCAAACGTGCTGCGTAACACGAGAATGAACCTCATTGGTTCTCACACGTCAAGTGAACATGCTTGAGTTACAGTTTACCACAACTAATGAGTGAGTTGATGAACGTTTATATATGTTTATAAGTTTAAGTTTATATGTTTTATAGATTTAAGTTGTATTTAGCTGGTAGGGAATTTTTCCGTGTGCCCCTTCTGGACAAAAAACACAACCATATTTGGCAAATAATTTAAAATAAAGGCCATAATAGACTTCTGTGCTGAATTTATAATGTAGATAAAACAAAAACAAAAATACTTCCACTTCAAACATTTTGAACCAATGTGCAGATTTTTAACACTTCAACATTGCAGGCACTGCAAAGAAAACAAGTTACAAGACAGTCAGCAAGTATAGGAACAAATTTATTTAAATTTAAAACAGATACTTTATAATTTTTCTTTTTTTAGAAGGCGGTTATGAAAATCATTTCCATGTTTGAATGAGGTTCAGGCAACAGTGGTTGAAATGAAACAAATACAAATAAAAACAACAAAAAAATAAAAATATGGCGAGAATGTGGTAAAATAAATTTCCACTATGTTTCCTCGTCTCGAGGATTTCGATGTTTGTCTGAGCCCAAAACTCCCACCTGGACAAAGAGCACATGCTTTAATAATTACAATTCCTTAAAAAAAAAGAAAAAAGAAAAGAGAAAAACAGCAGTTTATCTTCTAACTTAAATACAAAGTAAATCCTTTTACTCTCTTATTTAGTGTTTTACTCAATTTTAAAAGGAGACCGCGTCTAATTTCACGGTCCGCATGTGATTTGGACAACAATTGGCACTTGTTACGAGTCAGTCTCAGAGAAGGGGATTGGCACGCACAATATTATACAACATTTACATTTGGTATAATTACAAAATAAAAGGGCAAAAAGAAGCAGAGAACCAATGAGAGAGAAAACCCAAATAAAATGTACATGATCGTCCTGTCATAATAATAAAAAAAAGAGAAAATATTAAAGTGGTCCTGGACATAACAGCCTTCAGGTAATGTATTACAATAAAAGAACAGGGGATGAAATCAAATTTGAATGTGTCAGACCTTCAACCATTTGACCATCCATCACACAGATGCATCTAACCGTACCAGTAAACATGGAAATAACGTAACTGTACTGTCTCAATGTCAACAAATGGAGCATCCGAAAAGATTCATATGTTCATTCCCTCACAATGAATCATTCAATCAAATTGCAACCATCATGGATTCATCTTTAGGTGCATACACACTAGAGAAAGCTCTTACAGGAATGCGGAAGATTCATTTTTGAGTCTCTGAAATGAAGCGAATACTGAGAATTTGGTTCGAACAATCTACAAAACTTCTACAGCCAAATTTCCTTTACAGGAATAATAACATCTGGTTTAATGGCACAGACATTTGAAGGAAACTCTAGTGCCCTCTTGAGTACTGAGTGTTGCTACTTCCAGAGCAATGCATGTTTGCAATGCATTGGTCAAGCATCTGCGTTTCTGTATTTGTGTACAGTATTGTTGCCCAGATGCCTTTGAAAACAGCCAAAGCCTTCATTACTGATATGTTTATTCACCTGTCCACTTCAGAACCGAAATGGAAAGCCGCAGGCGAACAACTCTCTTGCCAACAGCGGGACGGATACTATTGTCAATTTACCACTCGCTGGACAATCAGGAAGTTGGCCAACGAAGAATATTTGACCTGAGGAAGGTTTTGATTTACTGCTGTGTTCAATGTACAAAGCATACAAAATACATGCAGGTCATAAACGAACAAAGTTTTGCCTCCAAACCTCATCGACTGTGCCCTACTGACAAAAGAAGTGTGCTTGTCACGTAACTAGCAATCCTAAAATGCCCAAAAAACATCACACGGTTCACAGAGGTAGAGGTTCTTGAGGGAACGTCAAAACTGGCAGATTTATAGATATGTGTAGCTCAAACGGTCGCGCTGCGGCTCGAAGCGTTTCTAGGCATTTGCCTTGAGGCACCAAAAAAAAAAAAAAAAAAAAAAAAGTGCATGAAGAACTAATCAAAGCTATGCCGAATAACGCGCCCTTCTTACAATCGAAGGCCTTCGAACCGCAGATACAACAAAGCAACACATTCTCATAGTGAGCAGAGCCATCATTCCGACAGTCGCAGTGAACTAACACCAGATGCGAAACCAAAAAGAGCCCATTATAAAAAGTGATGCTGTCTACACTGGATGCGGAGCGACCGCAAACTGATGCCCCCTTTTATTTCTGACGTTGTGGCAAGCAGGGCGGGGCCGAGAGCTGTGGGAACGGAGCGAGGGCTAATGAACGTCACCTGTTCGCCACACCGGTCTCGAGTCTCACGGAGAAGCTCCGGAAGGATGACAGAGGACCAGGCCTGGACTATTTATCTTGTGTTTTATTATGTTTATATGCGGCAGTCGTCCATGAGGGGCTGCCGCTTTACTTTCTCTTTGTTGTTTGTTTATTGTGTCATTAAACAGTTTCCTTATCACAAACTTTGTTACAGACATAGTTCAAGCGCTTGCGCAACTTCTGACACGAAGAACAAATGGGTTTGCAACGGTCGCTTTGTCGCGTCTAGTGTAGACAGCCTCAAGCTGTTGCGGCGTGACGACTGTCGCGATCCATTTGAACACTTTAGAGTAAGACGTGGTATTTTAGATGATTGAGTGCTCAATGGCCATGATATGCTTCAGTGTCTTCAAATCTAACTTACTACAACAACAAATGCAGGATTTACAAAATGGTGTGACATTTCCAAACCCCACTTAAACACTGAATCACATGGGTTGAGTTTACAAGTATCACATCAGGTTTTATATCCATCAAGAAAGCGTTTGGGAATGCTTCTCTAGTATGACCGTGGTAAGTGATGAACTCAAAAGTGATAAAATAATGAATAATGCATGAGCATTTGGCGGAATGGGTGTAAAACTGATCACATACAACAGAAGAGATGTTTCTCTTGGTACCGAATCACACTTTGAGCTGTGACCAAGTGCTTCTGGCATGGTTTTTCGTAGCCCTTGATGAAAATGAATGAAACATCACCAGTATAAAATATCAACTGTAAGAGAACCATAGAACACCTTTTTTTTTTCTATCTGTGCATCACATACACAATGAAGGAAACAAGCTGTGAATTTTAGAAAGAAATTCAAATAAAGTCAGAATCGAAAGAAAAAGTCACTACTTGCAAGCGTCGACCAAATAGATCTTCAATCACAAATAAAAAGCTGTCTATTTTCATATGGTATATTTCCTATGTTTGTTTTTAAGCACTTCACCTAAACATCATTTAAAAAAAAAAAAAAAAAAAAAAAAAAAGATCTGTAGGAAAGTGAAAAGTGTGGTAAGGGAAATATATTTATAGTACAATATATTGTGTGCTCGGGGAAAAAAATTCAAATAGAAAATAAAATTAAAATCTGATCATTTTTATCCATAACGGAGGTTTATACAGCAGTTCAGACACTAGTCTCCTATTTCTGTCTCATAACATGGGAGTGCTTCAAACAGGAAAGAGGAAACAATAGCATTCAAATTATCAACAACTTCAGATCTGGTCCATAAATTATATAAATAAAATGTTCTTTATTTAATTAATCTTTTCTTTTGCTTATTTTTCATATATCTCATATAACATTCACACCGTAGAGAAGGCCGTTTCGCTATCCCTCTCTGATGTTTCCAAACGCTCGAGGTTTTCTCAGACTATTGCTCATCATAACCGTGCGCGTTGATTTTTAAAACCACATTCGTCCTCCACACGTTACCAGCTATGTGTATATCATTAGCGTATTCATAGTGACCAAAAAAAGAAAAATCTAAAATTAAAACGAAGAATCACAGTATCAATAATATTGTAATTCATAAGAGAACCAACAGAGCCGTACACAATCACGAAAAAGTGATTTTTTTCCTTTTTTTTTGCCAAAGATAGTGTACCACAGACGTTTTGTACATAAGCAATAATGTGTATACGTATTTACAAATATAAATATACACAATCAATTAAGTTCAGCGCATAAATGCTTTCCTGTCCCCCCCCACCCTCGTCCTCCCACGTTCCCACCGGAATTTCGTTAGAAATTCTTGAGCGAAAAATGTATGTTACGACAATAAAAAAAAAAACTGCATAAACAAATAATGATTGTGTGCATCTGGGCCGCTGGGTGACGACGATACTCGCGAGTCTACGGCCCGGATTCTGTATTGATAAAGTATCTGTTCGTGAGCGAAAAAATAAAAAAAAGATAACCGCGCACTAATTTATTAGATCGCGAAGTTAAAACGAAACCGGGAAGCAAGATAAAAGATAACAACCATGGGGGAAGGAAGCGATGCAATAATTTTCAACTCTAAATGTGGAAATCTGCAGAACAATACCTATCGTATGTGTATAATCCTGTTTCGCGCACATTTAAAAATCCTTAACGCTGTCTCTTACCCATCATTAATTCGACTGCTCTTATAATTTACTTTATATTCTGTTGCAGTAGAAGAAGCTATAGTTACTTATCATTAAAAAGTTTTTAAAATGATCATCTCAGCAATATACACAGATTTATTTATTTTCATCTCTCCCTCACGCGCTTTTTGCTTATATAGGCATTCTTACACTATTTTCGTTCATTATCTTTTTCTTTTTTTTTCGGATTTTTTGTTGATTTTTTATTTTTTTTTGCATTTGCGATGCTCTCACATGAAGTTTACATTCATCGATGCGAGTTGAAGACTAGCCTCGTCGAGAGAATCATCTCTGCGAGTGAAAGGTTCTCCACACCATCAGTGGAACCCGCTGGAACCCACTGGATTTCTAGAATCCGCCGGAATCCTCGGAATTCTAGAAGGATCCAATGGATCCATTTCGGAACTTCTGGCACCACAGCACTAGTCCTTGTGTCCATGTACAAAGTATGTAAATATGTTATGATTTTTTTTTTTTTGTCATTTGTCTTTTTGCAGGGCTGTGAACACCACATTTTTCCATTCATCCAGGCAGAATTCCCGAGAAACACTCGGAGCAGATGATGTGATTGGAGCGAGTGATAGTACAGGAAGAGGAAGGAACATCACATCCAGGTTTTCAGGCCAGCGCATAACAGATCGTTCTCATCGTAGCTCCGCCAATCCAACATTTCCTTGAAATACGCAAACGCTGGGAGTGGCGAGTCGGAGTCTAACGCCCTTTGTCAAATCCAAGCCACGTTTCGGTGGTCAAATTTGATAAAAGGGAAAGAGGCCTTTGACGAGAGCTGCCGGGGCTGAGCGGACAGACTTTGGCAAACAAATAAAAAAATAAACGATGAGCAGGACACGTCTGTTACGATTCCGCTGGACAGAAAGAGAAAAACTCTGGAAGCTGGGAAAGAGAAATTAAAAGAACGTCGTGTTTTGAAGGTGTACATGATGCCTGTGTGTGTGTGTGTGTGTGAGTGTGTGTTGTGGACGTAGGTGTGCGCACGCTCTGTGGGTGCCTGTTCTATGCCGAGTCGTGAGAGCGGTGTCGGACTCGTCACGTCTCACACCAGGTTGTACTCCTTCAGGTTTAGCTGCAGGATGGTGTCTTTCACCGCCGCGAACACAAAGCGGATGTTCTCCGTGTCGGTGGCGCAGGTGAAATGCGAGTAGATGATCTTGTCGCTGTCAGGGTTCAGATCCACAAACATCTTCAGGATGAACTCCCGTGCGGCCTGGGCGTCCCTCTGGGGCCCTACAAATAATGTGTACATGGAGTTAAAGACTTCAGGAGACCTGGAAGAGTTCATCCTTCCTGGTTATTTACTCCACAATTAAGAGTTTTCTATATGAATTTACTCTGAAATGTAATTTATTCCTGTGATCAAAGCTGAATTACTCCTTTAGAAATCATTCTAATATGATTTGCAGCTCAAGAAACATTTAGTAATATTAATGACAATGTTGAAACAGTTGCTACTTCTTTTTTTGACATTATTTTTATAGATGAATTTTTTTAAGAAAATGTCTTACAGCATTAGGGAAAACAGTAAAAAAAAAACTAAAAAAAACAATATAACAAGGGGTATGCATTCTGTTTTGGGGTAAGTAGTATAGATTCACATATTTCATTGATTTTTTACATTACGGTACTCAATCATGGAAAGCGTGATACATTTTTTTTCAGGATTCTTTGATGAATAAAAAGTTTTTAAAAAAACAGCATTTGATTTAAATATTTTGTTTTAAAACATTATAAATGTTTTAATGTCACTTTTGATCAATAAAAAAATATATCTTACTGTATAGTTTATATAATGTGGTGACAATAGATATTTCCATGACCTTTAAAGATTGTATTACTTTAAATTACTTTTTATAGGCCTGGAAATAAGAAATGTCCTGATGATTACACTGCTTCATTCTGTCATTTAACTCTTAGAACTCATGACAGATTTGTTTTGAAAGGTTAAAGGACAACTCTGGCGCAAAATGAACTTATGGAGTAATAACACATTGGTACCGAGTCGACCGTTCTCTGGGATGTGTTTTAATGATAATCGAATGTAAAGGGTTTAATCTCTAAAAACTGTTTAGCTTATAACGCTAGTATATAGGGCATAGAATAAGTAAAAAGAAATCGCTTGTTAATACCACTAACAAGGCTCAAAATAGCCCCACACTAACACGGTAGCATAATGAGGAACCCTACATGCAAACCGAAGCATTGAGAACTTTGTAAGTGTACAGACAGTTTAATAAGAAGATACTTTATAAAGACAGTACACTACGCGTATACAGGCAGGAGCCATCTTGGAAAACAGACTCGACCAGTCAAACCACGAACGCCGTGCTAAGTGAGCTGGTCGATCGGAATTACGTTTGTGAAATCTAATTACATGGAAATGCATGAATTATATCGGTTTATTAAAATATATGCAGTGTTGGGAAAGTTCACTTTCTACATGAACTAGTTCAAAGTTCAGTTCACAAATTTTAAAATGAACTAGTTCAGTTCATAGTTCATACTTCAAAATTTTGAACTAAGGTCACAGTTCCAAAAATGAACTAATTCATTGTTCTTTTTTTTCCATATGTTGCTGCGAGCTATTTTTATTTATTTTTTATTGCCACAGCCCATATACGTACAACCACAGACAGCAATTATTTTATCGGCGGGCGAAGTTTGCACAGAAATGTACGATTTTTCTCATCCTCACCGACCTTGTCATAAAACTCGTTTAAATGATCATACGACGCCTCCTCGCTGCTTTGTCGACTACATAATGCTTTTTGTTTTGATGACGCATGCGGCGGTGCGAGTGTGACACTGGTGGCTGGTGTTGCCAGATTGGGTGTTTTTTCCTCTACATATTAAGGCCTGTTTACGTGTGTTTTAGCCGGGTTTTCGTCTGGAAGGCTCTATAGAAATCTGGCACCCAGTTGAACGAAGTTAAACTGAGAGAGCGTGCGTTCACAGACACCAGAATGAACGAGTTCATAGTAACGTTCATCAGGCAGTAATACAGTACGTTCAGTTCACGTTCGCCCAAAATATGAACGAGTTCATGAACTATCGTTCAAAAACGCGTTCAGGCGTTCATGTAGGGTTCCTCATTATGCTAGTATGTTAGTGTGGGGCTATTTTGAGCCTTGTTTGTGGTATTAACTAGCGATTTTTATTTGTACTTACTCTATGCCCTATATACTAGCGTTATAAACTAATCTGTGGTTCTTCGAGCTAAAACTGGGTATATTCGATTATCATGAAAACACATCCCAGAGAAGGATCGACTCGGTACCCATGTGTTATTCACCCCTAGGTTCATTTTTCGCTGGAATTGTCCTTTAATACATTCATTTGGAGATTTTGAACAGCATTTTTACTGCTGTTACACTCTTCAAACATGTCAATGAAAAGCTAATAATATCATAAGCTACTAAAACACATGCATACATTGGTACTGTCTGCATTAAACCAGTCCACATGAAAAATACTGTATGACAGGAAGAAGACCTACCATCAAACTCTGGGAAATAGTCGACCAGGTGAGAGTAAGAGATCTTCTCCTCCAGCAGGTCCTTCTTGTTGAGGAAGAGGATGACAGAGGAGTTTTGGAACCATGGATATGTGATTATCGTCCTGAACAGAGCCTTGCTCTCCTCCATACGATTCTGAATACAGACACAAAGAATGGATCATAATATATGTAAAAATGCACAGTAAAAAACAACAACAAAAAAACACTCAAGTAAAGGTAAACACGTCTATAGTAAAATAAAGCTCTGTGGCGGTTTGAGAGCTGCTCACCTCATTGTCCGATTCTACCAGAACCTGATCGTACTCGCTCAGAGCCACCAGAAACATGATGGATGTCACATTCTCAAAACAGTGGATCCACTTCCTGCGCTCTGACCTCTGACCCCCCACATCAACCATCCTGAGAAACAAAGAGAGCGAGCGTTTGCATTATTGATCGGTTACAGACATTATATGCATTAATAATTCATGATTATACTGTGCACAGCATGCAAATCTTCTGTATGCATGGAAGGACCTTGTCAGCATGCTAAAATGCACAGCACACAACCAGAACACGCTGCATATGTATCCCATAATGCAATGCGCTCAACCTGAATTTACAGTTTCAACTTTCAAGTGTGCCGAATTCACTGAGAGTGACATCCTAACTCCTTTATCTCCTCCTTGACTTTTTATTATTATTTGCAAATGAACACGTTTCGGATTAAAAAAGCAAGATAAGTATATTTTGTTGCTGAAATGACAGCTGGATGTACTACATCTACAACATAGCATAGTACTGTTTGTTTATCCTTGCATAATGCACATTTTTCAGTTTTACATACTCTTTAAAAAAAATAGTAGACATTATATAGTATATTCACGCATATACTGCATACATTGTAGTATGCAGTATGCATGCAACAACAAATTACCTTATGCATACCATGCAATATATACTGTTTTAACGCACTATTTAAAAAAAAAAAGGAAGTCAAACTGTAGTATGCTACATTGTTGTCACTTGACCATTATTTTGGTGAATGTTAAATCCAGCAAGTCCAAGAATCATCTTGCAAATAAAAATCTTTTTATGTGAACATTTATCAGTCCAATCACCTAATTAGTCAATAAAGATAAACATTGTGCCTGTGCATAATGCACAAAATATAAAAGTAGTATGCTAGCATGCTATTCTGAACATACCCATAGCCCTAGATTTCAGTAACATGGTAAATGTGTGCAGCCCAGCACTGATTTCGGGGTTTACGCGGCGCCCCCTAGTGGAGTCAGAGCTCCAGTCCTGAGCCAGCAGTTCACAGAGGGGCCTTTGATAAATGAAGCCCTCTAGGATTGGCTGCCCAAAATAAAGCTCCTTCAGATAGAAGCGTCCTCATTTCCTTCAGCCAGGGGCTCGGTGACCTACTTCTGAACATACACACGCTCTTTAATGTAGGACGAGTCTCCACATTCACTCCGCACTTAGCGAACTTTGGCATGAGGACAGTCAGAGAGAGAGAGAAAGATAGAGAGATGGCCGTGCGCACTCGTTTTTTTTTCTCTTCCGGGAAGCTCAACACGAGGTGCGTGTGGGTTTAAGACAGTTTTACAGAGATTAACAACCACAGAGCTGATGGTAATCATTTATGGAGTCAATATGGCAAAGAGGGCAGAAATAATCTGGTGTGTGTTTTGATAAATTTTCATATCACGTACATAGGAACGATTCAAAAACACGCTGTGAATCTCATCAGCGTCTTTCATAAACATGACAGATTTTAAATGTGTGGGTGCACCAGATACGAACACTTTCCATAAACTTACAGCAATTTTGTCATGAAAGTTCAATAATTAGGTTTAAAATGCTGTTGCAAAAACTATGAATCTAGGTTACTGTAGTTCTGAAAAATGCACACTTAAAAAAAATTATTGTAATTTTATGAGTTCTCGTTTAAATTTTAGTTCACATTCTTTTGAAAACACTCAATTTGGTTTAAACTGTAGTTTTATTGAGCTAGTTTTTTTTGTCTAAATAGGCCACACCCTTGGGTCATGAATATTAATTACATTTATGATGTTTGCCCTCACTAATTTACATTCGCATTTATTCATTTAGCAGACGCTTTTATCCAAAGAGACATACAAATGAGGACAACAACTAAGTGATTCTTCCTAAGGAGGAAATAACATGAGAAGTCTACGATACAAAGTTTCAGATGTTGTCTAGAAATTTGATTTGCGGAAGTTGTTAAGTGCTAACCATGGTTGGATTACAATTTACCATTTGTGCATTCGTTTAACCACAGCGACTGGGTGGCAGAGTCCTTTAAACTGGCAACATACTATGGCCAGGAAAAATAAACCTCTTTAAAATATAATGTTCATCTTTCAAAAGCGAAACGTTGCTACGCCCCTGCATGCACTACAGATCAAATGTTTTTTATGAAATAAATTAATACTTTAATTCAGCATTTAATTAATCAAAAGTGACAGTGAAGACATTTATAATGTTTCAAAAGATTTAAATGCTGTTCTTTTAAACTTTCTATTCCTTGAATAAACCTGAAAAAAAATGTTTTGTAGAAAACGGTTTCTACAAAAATATGAATCAGTACAACTGTTTTCAACATTTATAATAATCATAAATGTTTCTTGAGCATCAAATCATCATATTAGAATGATTTCTGAAGGATCATGTGACACTGAAGACTGGAGTAATGATGCTGAAAATTCTGCTTTGATCACAGGAATAAATTACATTTTAACTAGGGCTGTGACGATTCACCAAACCCACGATTCGGTTCGAATCACGATTTTTGACCCACGATTCGATACAATCGATACCTTTTTAGAAAAAAATCTCCATGTTTTTGGTGCTGATGCGGTGGTGACGCCTTCATGTAACATGTAAGGGTGGCGCTGCCAATAAAGCACATAAAAGCTGTCACAAAGACCCGGCAAAAGTAATGATTATGAATATGTCAAATATAGCAAGGAGACATTTGAATTGTTTATTAATAAACAAGTGTTTTCTGTGTCAGTGTCGGCTGCAAAGATGAAGTTGACGATGCTGACTCGCGATCTTCGCAGGATTACATTACAGTAATACGGATTACATAAGCAGAGAGCAGTCTGTTTTCTTTCGTTTTGAATTGTTCTGTTTAAAAGTAGACATTTCAAGCTTTCTCAGGTCTGTGAGGCAAGTAGGCTAGCTTATACGCTGAGTTTCGGTTCATTTATGAGACGAGCTCCAGTTCACGCGTGTCCTCCGTGTCGTGATTATCTATTGTCTGCTATATTTACTTCTTATTTATTAAATCCAGGCAATTGGTTGATGAAACATTGATTAAAATTAAGATACAAGTAATACAAAACGAAATTCACTTTAAAGAAAGGCTTTGTGCTTTCTGTTTGATGTCTCTGTGAAAGTTTTAAAGCATCTTTTAGAGCCGCTTTCAGAGCGCTCACGTCCGTAACGGGGAACTGTCACGTCCGTAACACTGTTTTTTCCTCATAAATGCGAACACGAAAAATTTAATAAAAGGAATATTTTATGTTCTGTGGAGAGTCAACCCTTCTTCATCTGGTGGGTAGTATTACTTTTGGTTTGCGCAGTGTAATTCACAGAGTTACTAAAAAATATTTTGCCACCTAAAAGTTAAAGATTTCACGTCACGTGATATATAGAAAAATATCAGTCTACACATGCGTTTTATATTTAATATGAGGGAAATACGTGTATTTCCCTCATTTTAAATATAAAACGCATGTGTAGACTGATATTTTTCTAATGTCTGGACTCCTTTATTTCAATATATTGGTATTAAATGCATTTTCTGAGAATGTTTTAGTGCAAATTCACATACATAACGCTGGAACGGCCCAATTTTAAAGAATTTATCCTCAATTAGTTTTGTGGTGTAGGTCTACGTATTTCATAATGTTAACTTCTAATAATACTAATAGTAATTTATAGATGTGGTAGCATTGGATCTGGGCGGGAAGGATAACTCGGTTCGTGGATCCGAGTGTGTGATTTCGGTTTCATATCGCATATCGTTACAGCCCTACATTTTACAATATATTCAAATATAAATTAATTTAATATATTATTTCACAATATTACTGTATTTTTGACCAACTAAATGCATGCTTGGTGAGCATAAAAGACTTCCTTTAAACTGGAAATTGTTTTGTGGGTTTTGATGGCTCAATAAAGACAAACAAATCATTTGAAAAATACAACCAAGACGACTTTGACTCATGTGGGGTGTGACTGGATCTTTGTAGGTCACACTAGAAAGTCATCTCAGGAAAATATTAATAACTCTCCAGCGGTGGATGTATTCTCGATGCTAACCTACATTCAGTGGGACAGAAAAAATCATTTCCTAAATTTCAAACGAAAGCTGACTAATAATTGCCCTGTGTCCTCTACCTGAAAATGATGCTTTGAAGGTCGAACGGGTATTCAATAATCCCTGTGGTCGGGATTCGAACCCTCAGAACATCCTGCTGGGTGGGAAGGTAGGAGGACTCGGAGATACGATCCAGATCAGTTAGATAGCTGCAGAAAGAGAAGGAGAGAGATAAAAACATCATTAACCCCTTTATATCACAAGCGGCTGGTTTGGTAAAGGATGTTTCCAGACGTCCCAGTCAGCAGATCTCAGAGGATGCTTATTATGCTGTCTTGTGAGACAACCTAAAGAACACAACGGCTAAATAGGGAAGACAAATGTTTTTTTTTGGTGTGTGGTCAAACTAAGGTTCTTTTAGAGAAAATCTCTTTATTGACTTATTTGATTTGAATGAAGAATGAAGAGAATAAAAACACCATAGGGGCTTTCGCTCCAGAGTAACATTTTCATAGTTCTATAACTATTGGCGGATGTACTTGCTTTTTTGGTGTGTTTGCTTCACGGGAATTGGGAATGATTTTAGTTTATGGGGAACTAAATTAGCTCCTACTTCTAAACCAGCACTATAGGAACTACCAGTGACGTAAGTGTACATTGAATGGCCGAACGCATGCCATACGAAACAACGGCACCCGACATTTTTAAAAAGCCGTGTAAACACACAGTTTACATATACGAACATGGAAAACAGGCAGTGATAAGACATAAACGTACAGAAAGCTAATGTTAAAGGCATTTACTTGTCGCCATTGTCTGCTTGATTATATGTAGCACTGCAAGTTGTCGTAGGAGATTTAATCTATCAGCCCTTCTTTTTACTCTTTTAATCGCACAAAAGCCGGGACACACCAAGCCCACGTCAAAGAACTAGAGACGATAAAAGTTGACTGTGTTGTCGCCTCTCGTTGGCTCCGTCTCGGCCAAAAAGCTGCACTTGAACACACCGTTAGGACTAAAGGCGACTGTCAACTAGCACGTGTGTTCTAGATATTCACTAGCACAGTGAATATCTGTCTATATCGGCAGGTATTAATAGTCTATTTTCGTCATTCAAAAAGGAAAACTGAAACTAGGACTCCAGAAACAAACCGTAAAACCAAAAATATCAATCACTATCAAAACGTCAGCATATAAAATTCTTCCCATTAATGTAATGCAAAAATAAGATTAAAGAATGAATTAGAATAAAGAAAATGATACAATAATAAAGAAATAAATTGTAGTAATTTTTACACAAAATTGCATAATTTTTTATAAATAATTTCTGATTTGCATTTGCTAATAGTTTCATGTGACAAATTTAGTGAGGGTCACAATATAGCATACAAGGTTTTGAAATTTGTATTATTGCATAATTATTTTTTGTCTGACACTACTTTTCTCAAAATAGTATACTGTGATGTATGTAGCATGAATATATTGCATAGCATGTAAAGCAGTATGCAACAATAAACAAACATTATGTGGCATGCTTAATTCCGAAAAAAAATGGCCAAATGGTACCATCTCTGAAATAAATACTTTAAATGAGATGTAGCCATCTGCATCCCGTTTTGTATATTGTAAAATATCATAGATTATATCTACAGAACTGAAGAAATAAACTAGTGAAACTATCAAATCAATAATCAAACAATGCTTTCGTAAAACAGGTCTGATTCATTTGTGTGAACTGGTTCATAAAAAATAAAAAAAAGATCCACTGATTCATTTTGATTCCTTTGCATTTTGTAGCAAAATATTTAGTAAAATGCTGTAGTTTGTCACTGTTGACGACTCAGAACAAGATCAGAAATGTATTGAAATATTATATAAACGAGTGTGTTTCTAGTTTTGTTATTTGATTTAGTGTAAATCTCCGATATTTCTACTGTACTGATGTGACCTGTATTACCCCAACAAACCAGCAGGGGGTGTGATTCACATGATGCCAACGACTCCAAGCTTCATACATTTGTGTGTATTAATGTGGTGAAATATGCACTGCCTCCATGTTTCTCCATGTTTTATTGGGCCAGTAAAAGAAATAGGACAAGACTGGCTGCCGCCAAACTGTTCAATTAGATCATCAGAGAGACACGGACACAAACCCATTCAGAAAAAGGACCACGAAACACTGAAGCACGTTCATGAGAGATTAATTGATTTGTGTGGGTTGCACAAGCTGGAAGACATGTTATTTCTAAGTACAAATTGATTTGTTCCCCTTCTTTTTCCAGATTTAATAACATCTTGGACATTGTCTACCATTAAAGAAATAGTTCACCCAAAAATGGCAATCCATTTTTTTACTCCTCGGTTGTTTTATTCTTTCACGGAACAACTGAGGAGAATTTTTTTCCAAAATTGTATTGGTCATTTTTCCATACAATTACATTGAATAGGAATGCATAGGAATGCTTTCAAGCTCTAAACAGGACACAAATGCACCAATAAAGTTATCCATGTGACTCGCAGGTGCTGTATTGTAAATCTTCTGAAGTCACATGATTGCTTTGTGTGAGTTATTTACTAAAAATCATTCTCATTCATCAGAGTTCTGAGTTTTTTTCTTCTCCATGTCTTTCAAATGATTTTGGATTGTATGACTCTATTTATTTAGTTTTCATTTTAATTTACTTAGTAATGTATATTTTCTGTACGTCTCTATAAAGCGCTTTGAGATACAACTTTTAAAGGCGCTATATAAAATAAAGTTTATTATTATTATATTATTATTATGAGCAATAGCATAATTCAAACTGACCTTTTAAATCAAATCTTTTCAAAGAATCAGTTGATTTAGCTCACAAAATCAGTCTGAATGACCGGTTGATGAATCAGACAAGATTCTCATAGACTCAGTGATCATTTCAAGATTATCAGTTATTTAAGATTTAGTGCATGAGCTGAATGATGACAGATTTCCAGATGAACAAACATGCACCAATGATCATTTACAATATGACCAGGAATTAAGAAAGTATGTTGACTTTTTTTTTACAGATACAATATACATTTAAAGGGGTGGTTCAGAATTTTGGACATCGGGCCTCATTTCCAAGTGAGCCTGTGTGTTATTTATCAGTGGAGACAGTTTTCAAAAATTTTCATCCAGTCGTTCCAGTTGCATAGTTCGCCGGAGCTAGGCTAGCACGAGTCAATGGTAACTGCTAGCCTGCCATTAAAAACAGTTTTACCCACTCCACAGTACACCAAAAGCAGATCAATTATAACGCCAGACTATCGATGTAAATGTCTGTTAAGAGAATAATGTTAAAAATCAAACTACTCTTGCATCTCAATGATTGCAATACATTTACAGGAACTAGTTTCTCAGCAGCGGCGGGATTTTACTTTGCTCCGGTTAGTAGTCCTGCGCCGAAAAGTAAACACAGAACCGAAGCGCACTACAGTCGGGACTACCTGTACTACCTCTCTCTCTCTCACTACCTCTCTCTCTCTCACTACCTCTCTCTACCTCTCTCTCTCACTACCTCTCTCTACCTCTCTCTCTCACTACCTCTCACTACCTCTCTCTCTCTCTCTCTCTCTCTCTCTCTCTCTCTCTCTCTCTCTCTCTCTCTCACTACCTCTCACTACCTCTCTCTACCTCTCTCTCTCTCACTACCTCTCTCTACCTCTCTCTCTCACTACCTCTCACTACCTCTCTCTCTCTCTCTCTCTCTCTCTCTCTCTCTCTCTCTCTCTCACTACCTCTCTCTACCTCTCTCTACCTCTCTCTCTCTCTCTCTCTCTCTCTCTCTCTCTCTCTCTCTCTCTCTCTACCTCTCTCTCTCACTACCTCTCTCTACCTCTCTCTCTCACTACCTCTCACTACCTCTCTCTCTCTCTCTCTCTCTCTCTCTCTCTCTCTCTCTCTCTCTCTCTCTCTCTCTCTCTCTCACTACCTCTCACTACCTCTCTCTACCTCTCTCTCTCTCACTACCTCTCTCTACCTCTCTCTCTCACTACCTCTCACTACCTCTCTCTCTCTCTCTCTCTCTCTCTCTCTCTCTCTCTCACTACCTCTCTCTACCTCTCTCTACCTCTCTCTCTCTCTCTCTCTCTCTCTCTCTCTCTCTCTCTCTCTCTCTCTCTCTACCTCTCTCTACCTCTCTCTACCTCTCTCACTACCTCTCACTACCTCTCTCTACCTCTCTCTCTCACTACCTCTCTCTACCTCTCTCTCTCACTACCTCTCTCTACCTCTCTCTCTCACTACCTCTCTCTACCTCTCTCTCTCACTACCTCTCTCTACCTCTCTCTCTCACTACCTCTCACTACCTCTCTCTCTCTCTCTCTCTCTCTCTCTCTCTCTCTCACTACCTCTCTCTACCTCTCTCTCTCTCTCTCTCTCTCTCTCTCTCTCTCTCTCTCTCTCTCTCTCTCTCTCTCTCTCTCTCTCTACCTCTCTCTACCTCTCTCACTACCTCTCTCTACCTCTCTCTCTCACTACCTCTCTCTACCTCTCTCTCTCACTACCTCTCTCTACCTCTCTCTCTCACTACCTCTCTCTACCTCTCTCTCTCTCACTACCTCTCTCTCTCTCTCTCTCTACCTCTCTCTCTCTCTCTACCTCTCTCTCTCACTACCTCTCTCTACCTCTCTCTCTCACTACCTCTCTCTACCTCTCTCTCTCTCTCTCTCTACCTCTCTCTCTCTCTCTACCTCTCTCTCTCACTACCTCTCTCTACCTCTCTCTCTCACTACCTCTCTCTACCTCTCTCTCTCTCACTACCTCTCTCTCTCTCTCTCTCTACCTCTCTCTCTCTCACTACCTCTCTCTACCTCTCTCTACCTCTCACTACCTCTCTCTCTCTCTCTCTCTCTCTCACTACCTCTCTCTACCTCTCTCTCTCACTACCTCTCTCGGTTGCCTAGGTAACTACATATCACTCCGCCGCTGCTGTAGACTGCGCTAATAAATACAGGGAACAATGGATAACTATTGCAATGCGATGAAAGGGTAGTTTGATTTCTAACATTATTCTCTCAACAGACATTTACATCGATAGTCTGGCGTTATAATTGATCTGCTTTTGGTGTACTGTGGAGTGGGTAAAACTGTTTTTAATGGCAGGCTAGCAGTTACCATTGACTCGTGCTAGCCTAGCACCGGCGAACTATGCAACTGGAACGACTGGATGAAAATTTTGAAAACTGTCTCCACTGATAAATAACACTAAGGCTCACTTGGAAATGAGGCCCGATGTCCAAAATTCTGAACCACCCCTTTAATTGTTAGGGGATTTGACACGGTTTAAACACAAACATGATTATGAATAATCATATTGTATTCAATACATAGATGATGACAGATATACTCACTATTTCGTGGAGTCTGACAGCTGGTACTCCCGGCGTCTGTCGTAGGCCTCTTGAATGCCTGGATCTGTCCAGAGCATCTTTATGGCATTAATGTAGGGGTGATCGAATGACATCACCTTCTCAATGTCCACCTCCTTCACCAGATTAGCGTTTGCCTGCAGTCCAGAGCAGATCAACAGTTTAAGACAAAAACAACGGAAGAAAATATAGATAATAAACACCGACGCAATAGGGCGGTTGACATTCAATGTGAAAAAGAAGTGCACTTAATTGTACTGAATGTGCACTTGTGTACTTCAAATATTAGAAGTATACTGCATATTTTTTTTTAAACTTACTTGAAGATAATACAATATTAATAAAATAGAAGGCCAATTAAGTGTACTTTAAAGTGTACACGTTCATGCCTGTTTCTCAACACAGTTAAGCACACTTTTAAAAAGTGCACTTTGTAAGGTCAAATTAAAAGATTTATTTTAAATCATCGTTTAGATCAATAATACTTTGTCATGCAGACTTATTTTGATGTGTTGACTAACATATTAAGTCACATGTAAAGTAGATTTAACAGAATTTTAACTGTAGTGTTACTTCAAATAGCATTTAAATGTAATATATTTTCAAAGTACTAAACCGCAACTTCATATGTTTTAATAGATGACATACAAGTTTTAATAGAAATGACGTTAAAGTATGTTGATGTCTACCATAAATGCTTGTCAGTACATTCAGCAGTACAGTTTAACCATATTTCAAAGACAACAGAAGTAATTATGAAATGCAAGGCTCCAGACTGCGAGCAAATGGTTGCATTTTGCGACCTTTTTTCTTCTCGGTGCGAGTTAATTTTGTTGGAGGTCGCACTGGTGCCATCACCATGTTGCCCAACTGATAAGAGCTTTCGTTGCATATGAAAAACCGACAAACTAAACGAAAGCAGAACAAAACCTTCTCGTTTGAGCTGCGCTGAGAGATTATTAGCTCGGACCAATATTAGACAGCGCGGCACGAGTTCGATCATGTGACACCGATACTACACAGCGCCAGGAGATCAAGTGAGAAAGCGTTTGAATTCACAAAAAAAAAAAAAATCACATTATGAAATAAATGTTTTACACGTTGGCCACAATTATTGGTGCCCCTAGAAATTTTTATGAGTAAAATATATCTTCCTTTATATTTACAATTTTCAGCACACCAGGGTGACTAGTAATCATGAAGTACCAGCCATGAGTTCTTGTTTCACAAGAGTATAAATATGAGGAAACACAAAGGCCGAATTCCCTTAATCATCCATCATAATGAGAAAAAACTAATAATATAGTTCTGATGTGCAGCAAAAGATTGTTGAGCTTCACAAAATAGAAAGTGGTTGTAAGAAAATAGCTAAAGCATTGAAAATGTCCATTTCCACCATCAGGGAAACGATTGAGAAGATGTTACGAATCTGCCTGGAAGAGGATGCGTGTCTTGATTGTCTTAATGCACGGTGAGGAGGAGAGTTCGAGTGGCCAAAGACTCTCCAAGGATCATAGCTGGAGAATTGCAGAAAATAGTACAAACAGCACCAACATCACCACATGTTGTCTGGGAGGGTTTTAAGAAAAATCCTCCTCGCTCATCCAAAAACAAACTCCAGCGGTTTCAGTTGTCAGACACGACTGGAACTTCAAATGGGACTGAGTTCTGTGGTCAGATTAAACAAAAAACAACAAAAAAGAGCTTTTTGGGATAACACAGGGATAAAAAAGTACCCCATGAGTACGGTAAAATATACTGCTGGATCTTTAATGTTGTGGGGCTGTTTTTCTGCTGGAGGTCCTGGACATCTTTTCACATACATGGCATTAGGGATGTAACGATTTCCGGTTTAACGATAAACCACGATAAAATGTCCTCACGGTAAGTATTATCGTTTAAAATGTAATTATCACGAAAACCGGGTTCGATTATCACGATTTTGAAAGCTCTCGTGGTAAATCCTGTCCAGGCAGCATCAGTCTGGCGCAGTCGCAGTGCAACGTTGTTTGTTTGTTTCTTTGTACGAGAAGACATGGCGAAAGGCAGTGACAGCGCTCGGGAGATTCATCATCCAAAAAAACTCATTTGTTGTTTGTTAATTTCCAAATATAAAACTTGTTGAAATGTTTTCAGTGTGCCTATCAGTTCTTTTTGAACATTTTCATCTCATTTTACCAAAACCATGATAACATTAATAATCGCGATAATTTTGGTTACTATAATCGTGATATGAAATTTTCATACCGTTACATCCCTACATGGCATCATGGTTTCTATCAAATGCCATGAAGCAAAATGAAGCACAAAATGAAACTTCTGCCATGGCCATCCCAGTCCCCTGACCTAAACCATTCAGAACTCTGAAGAGGAGAGCGTGTCAATATGGATCTGGGAATCTGAAGAGGGGAGAGTGTATCAACATGGATCTGGGAATCTGAAGAGGGGAGAGTGTATCAACATGGATCTGGGAATCTGAAGAGGAGAGTGTATCAACATGGATCTGGGAATCTGAAGAGGAGAGCGTATCAACATGGATCTGGGAATCTGAAGAGGAGAGCGTATCAACATGGATCTGGGAATCTGAAGAGGAGAGCGTATCAACATGGATCTGGGAATCTGAAGAGGAGAGCGTGTCAATATGGATCTGGGAATCTGAAGAGGAGAGCGAATCAACATGGATCTGGGAATCTGAAGAGGAGAGCGAATCAACATGGATCTGGGAATCTGAAGGGGAGAGCGAATCAACATGGATCTGGGAATCTGAAGAGGAGAGCGAATCAACATGGATCTGGGAATCTGAAGAGGAGAGCGTATCAACATGGATCTGGGAATCTGAAGAGGAGAGCGTATCAACATGGATCTGGGAATCTGAAGAGGAGAGTGTATCAACATGGATCTGGGAATCTGAAGAGGAGAGTGTATCAACATGGATCTGGGAATCTGAAGAGGAGAGTGTATCAACATGGATCTGGGAATCTGAAGAGGAGAGTGTATCAACATGGATCTGGGAATCTGAAGGGGAGAGTGTATCAACATGGATCTGGGAATCTGAAGAGGGGAGAGTGTATCAACATGGATCTGGGAATCTGAAGAGGAGAGTGTATCAACATGGATCTGGGAATCTGAAGGGGAGAGTGTATCAACATGGATCTGGGAATCTGAAGAGGGGAGAGTGTATCAACATGGATCTGGGAATCTGAAGAGGAGAGTGTATCAACATGGATCTGGGAATCTGAAGGGGAGAGTGTATCAATATGGATCTGGGAATCTGAAGGGGAGAGTGTATCAATATGGATCTGGGAATCTGAAGAGGGGAGAGTGTATCAACATGGATCTGGGAATCTGAAGAGGAGAGTGTATCAACATGGATCTGGGAATCTGAAGGGGAGAGTGTATCAACATGGATCTGGGAATCTGAAGGGGAGAGTGTATCAACATGGATCTGGGAATCTGAAGAGGAGAGTGTATCAACATGGATCTGGGAATCTGAAGAGGAGAGCGTATCAACATGGATCTGGGAATCTGAAGAGGAGAGCGTATCAACATGGATCTGGGAATCTGAAGAGGAGAGCGTATCAACATGGATCTGGGAATCTGAAGAGGGGAGAGTGTATCAACATGGATCTGGGAATCTGAAGAGGAGAGTGTATCAACATGGATCTGGGAATCTGAAGGGGAGAGTGTATCAACATGGATCTGGGAATCTGAAGAGGGGAGAGTGTATCAACATGGATCTGGGAATCTGAAGAGGAGAGTGTATCAACATGGATCTGGGAATCTGAAGGGGAGAGCGTATCAACATGGATCTGGGAATCTGAAGAGGAGAGTGTATCAACATGGATCTGGGAATCTGAAGAGGGGAGAGTGTATCAACATGGATCTGGGAATCTGAAGAGGAGAGTGTATCAACATGGATCTGGGAATCTGAAGGGGAGAGTGTATCAACATGGATCTGGGAATCTGAAGAGGGGAGAGTGTATCAACATGGATCTGGGAATCTGAAGAGGAGAGTGTATCAACATGGATCTGGGAATCTGAAGAGGAGAGCGTATCAACATGGATCTGGGAATCTGAAGAGGAGAGCGTATCAACATGGATCTGGGAATCTGAAGAGGAGAGTGTATCAACATGGATCTGGGAATCTGAAGAGGAGAGCGTATCAACATGGATCTGGGAATCTGAAGAGGAGAGTGTATCAACATGGATCTGGGAATCTGAAGAGGAGAGCGTATCAATATGGATCTGGGAATCTGAAGAGGGGAGAGTGTATCAACATGGATCTGGGAATCTGAAGAGGAGAGCGTATCAACATGGATCTGGGAATCTGAAGAGGGGAGTGTATCAACATGGATCTGGGAATCTGAAGAGGAGAGCGTATCAATATGGATCTGGGAATCTGAAGAGGGGAGTGTATCAACATGGATCTGGGAATCTGAAGAGGAGAGTGTATCAACATGGATCTGGGAATCTGAAGAGGAGAGTGTATCAACATGGATCTGGGAATCTGAAGAGGAGAGCGTATCAACATGGATCTGGGAATCTGAAGAGGGGAGTGTATCAACATGGATCTGGGAATCTGAAGAGGAGAGCGTATCAACATGGATCTGGGAATCTGAAGAGGAGAGCGTATCAACATGGATCTGGGAATCTGAAGAGGAGAGTGTATCAACATGGATCTGGGAATCTGAAGGGGAGAGCGTATCAACATGGATCTGGGAATCTAAAGAGGAGAGCGAATCAACATGGATCTGGGAATCTGAAGAGGAGAGCGTGTCAACATGGATCTGGGAATCTGAAGAGGAGAGTGTATCAACATGGATCTGGGAATCTGAAGGGGAGACCGTATCAACATGGATCTGGGAATCTGAAGAGGAGAGTGTTTCAACATGGATCTGGGAATCTGAAGGGGAGAGTGTATCAACATGGATCTGGGAATCTGAAGAGGAGAGCGTATCAACATGGATCTGGGAATCTGAAGAGGAGAGTGTTAATAACATGGATCTGGGAATCTGAAGAGGAGAGCGTATCAACATGGATCTGGGAATCTGAAGGGGAGAGTGTATCAACATGGATCTGGGAATCTGAAGAGGAGAGCGTATCAACATGGATCTGGGAATCTGAAGAGGAGAGCGTATCAATATGGATCTGGGAATCTGAAGAGGAGAGTGTATCAACGTGGATCTGGGAATCTGAAGAGGAGAGTGTATCAACATGGATCTGGGAATCTGAAGAGGAGAGTGTATCAACATGGATCTGGGAATCTGAAGAGGAGAGTGTATCAACATGGATCTGGGAATCTGAAGGGGAGAGTGTATCAACATGGATCTGGGAATCTGAAGAGGAGAGCGTATCAACATGGATCTGGGAATCTGAAGAGGAGAGTGTATCAACATGGATCTGGGAATCTGAAGAGGAGAGTGTATCAACATGGATCTGGGAATCTGAAGGGGAGAGTGTATCAACATGGATCTGGGAATCTGAAGGGGAGAGTGTATCAACATGGATCTGGGAAGCAGATTTATTTTCACAGGGTGCCATATTTACAAAGGGTGCCAATAATTCTGACCAGGACTGTATATTCTTTTAAAGTATATTATTTTCATAATAAGTACTCTTTTTAAAAGTATGTACTACTTTTACTCAAGGGCTGACATGTCACAGAAGTCTGAGGTGTGCAATACTCCATCTAACCCATTTTAAACATGCTCTGTTTCTGTAATTATTATAGATAGAGCTTCTATTATGCGTCTTATTAATAGTAAGACCACATGGAATATTTGTCGGTTTTATTATTTGCCACACTAAAGCACATTTTAAGAGAATGACAACAATTCATGGTTGAAATAAGTGGTTAAAAGCAAAAGGCGACCAGTCACAGCAGCTAAAAAATAAACTTCCTCATATACATACATATAAATTTGAACCTAAAATCTTTTTTAAAGAAAAAGGTTAATGGTGCTGTTTTTAATTTTTAACAAAACTTTTTGCAATTGCATTTGGTGATACTAGTGGAGCATAAAATACACACTTCACCTTTAAAGTCCTTGTTATTTGCCTATTTCTGAGCATTTTAGACTCATTAAAACAATTCAGTAGATGAATATTATTTCACATTTGACCTGCTGATTATATGAAAATTGCAACACTCTGGAAACTACAGCAATTCTGGAAATTAAAAGTTGCCCCATTGAAATAAAAGTAAAAAAAATAATAATAATACAATTCTGAATCAAATTGTAATAAATGGTGTATCATGTCAAATGAAAAGAATTGCAATATGTTCATTACATTGTGTCTAAGGGGCCGTTTACACAACACCATCTGTGTAAAGCGTTTTTAATAATTTTCATGGATCTGTTTGAACGGGGATCGGTTTAACAACGTCGTCTGTATGCGAAAAATGCGAAGGAAAAACTTTTCCGTCTTTAGTACATCCTTGTCATGTAAAGGTACCCTTATACTACCACATGAACCCTGAAGTTTTTTTTTCCCAATGGCTGGATATGAAAATAAAACTGTTTAGGGCCAAAATAGAAAAACACCATGACACCGGTCACAAACTTATCCAAAATCAAATGAAAGAAACAAGAAATGTTATTCTGCATAAAGAATTTGGCAGGAAATGAATAATGCAAAAAAATTGATTTAGGTGTGAAACATGACCTTGATGCTTTCATCAGATTCAGCCTTAAATGCTTTAAAACGGTCTGCTTATGACAACTGAAATACTCAACATGAACCATTCTAACCTTGTTCTGCTCGTACTTGTAACCGATTTTCAGGTTCTCGGTGGCGCGGATCATGGCCTGCATGGAGGTGAAGATGTTCTGGTACACCAGCTTGGTGAAGCCACGTTTGTCCTCGTCTGTGTATCCGGTGCCATGGATGATACGCATCTGTTTGATGAACGTACTCTTGCCGCTCTCACCCGTGCCTAGAGCAGAGAGAAGGGTCAGAGGTCAGGTTTATTTCGATCAAGACCACAGGTACAGCATCCTTCATTCATGATCATCCGTTCAGATGGTTTGGTCACAACGTGGCAGCACATCAGGACACTTCATTGTTCAATTGAGAAAAAAAAGAGAGAGTCAATGAGAGCAAATATGTGCCTTTGCCATGTTGGCTGCTGCTCCTTACAACAACATCCGAATCTATTTAAAAAAAATAACTGCATGACTCACATTTAATTGTTCTTTAAAGGGGTGGTGTAATGCCGTTTTCACAAGATGTAAAATACGTTTTTGATGTCCCCAGAGTGTGTATGTGAAGTTTTAGCTCAAAATACCCCACAGATATTTTATATAGCATGTTAAAATTGTCACTTTTTGAGGGTAAGCAAAAACGCACCGTTTTAGTGTCTGTCCCTTTAAATGCAAATGAGCTGCTGCTCCCAGCACAGGGGGCGGAGCTTCAACAGCTCGTGTCCTTTTACCTCACAGACATGCACTGAAAATTTCAAAAACTTTTAGCCTTTTATGTTCAAACCGTAGTCAGAAAAAACAACATTTCTGAATGGTTAGTTGATGAATTTATGTAGCGTATGTAGTTATCTTTTAGTCATTGAATAGCATATTCTGTCATGATAATCTATAAATCGTGTTCTCGGGGGCGGGGTTTATGTAAATTCTAGGGTTGGTGATGTCACTAACCCAGGAGGAAGCTCGTGTAGTTCCTACCAGCCGTTTGTTGTAGTTCTTAAAAAGCAATTTCTTTAAAAGCAAATATCTCCCTTTGCTTTGAACTTTGAGCGTCGTAACTTTGCAGATGTTGTTTATGCTCAAACATCAACATTACACACTAACTAAAGTTAGAAAAGTGAAATCATAATTAACCACCCCTTTAATGTATATATTTGTATTTAATATACACTACCGTTCAAAAGTTTGGGGTCGGTACGATTTTAAATACTTTTAAAAGAATTCTCTTCTGCTAACCATGGCTGCGCTTATTTGATTAAAAAAACAAAACAACAAAAATCAGTTATAGTATTAAATATTATTCCAGTGTAAATCAGCTGTTTTCTGTGTGAATATATAGTAAAGTGTAATTTATTCCTGTGATCAAAGTTGAATTTTCAGCATCACCAGTGTCAGTGTCTTCAGTGTCAATTGATCCTTCACAAATCAGTATAATATGAGGATTTGATGCTCAAGAAACATTTATTATTATTATCAATGTTGAAACAGTTGTTGGTCTGTCAGTTGTACAGTTTTTTTTAGTTTTTTTTTAGGATTCTTTGATGAATAGGAAGTTCAAAAGAACAGCATTTGTTTGAAATAGAATCTTTTGTAACATTATAAATGTCTTTACTGTCCTTGATAAATAAAAGTATTGATTTCTTTCCTCAAAAAAATAAAAATAAAAATTCTCACTGACCCCAAACTTTTGAACGGTAGTGTATATATATATATATATATATATATATATACAGCCATAACAATATTTGATTTGCTGACCTGCATTTCACCATTAACCAACATTAGAATATATGTAGATGTTGTTAAACTATTGAAATGCTAACTTAAAATCTCAAGGGGTATTTTACATCTACTGTAAGTTTGGGAACCTCTAGGTTTCATTAATGCAATGTGTTTTAATCTAAAAAATAAATAAAAATCGAAACAGTGTTGAATGTGTGTGAAGCCCAGTGTACAGTCTAAACTTCAAAAGGGTTGGTATGTTCCGTCACACATGTGAACTCGCCCACACACACATACTCAGACAGGGATTAAAGTCAACATGGAATGACACACACTTTAATTCTGCAACATTTCCAAATGAAACAGGGTATTCAAAGAGAAAAAAGGGAGCACAATAAGTCCTGGAATATATTATTTAGATTTTTTTCTAATGAGCCCCTGCATTGAGGAAGAGGCTTGTATTGACAAATTATATAACAGTCAAGTCCAATATTAGGGGAGCAACGGATCGTAGTTGATCCCTGATCCACATGGACCAGTCCCCACAGTTCGGCACGCATGTGATTTGCGGATTAATTGCAAAGTTTAACCATCATAGAGTGGTCAAGTGGTCATCAAAAAAAAAAAAAGGGAGCACAATAAACGTGCACAATAAGTCCTGGAATACAAAGAAAGAATGTTTGTAACCAAACAGTTATGGGGCACCATTGATTTTTTATTTATTTTTATACTATGGGAGTCAATGGTGTCCCCACAACTGTTTGGTTACAAACATTCCTCAAAATATCTTCCTTTGTGTTCAGCAGAAGAAAGAAACTCATACAGGTTTGGAACGCTTGAGGGCGAGTAAATGATGACAGAACTTTCATTTTTGGGTGAACTGTCCCTTTAAGAGTGTAAAGCACCATTGTTCAAACTGTAGCCACAGTAAGAGGTGAAAACGTTGTGTAGGTTTTGGTTGGAAAACCACAGACATACCTCCAACGCCAGAAACACAAACCTATTGAGAGACATTGACAATACCAGAAGATGCAGTTTCTTTGTTGTCTCCACTCACCTCGAACAACAAACCTCTCAAACAAAACGTCACCCCTGGACCTGACTTCCTCTCTTTAACACACAATTAAAAGCTCTTTCTCCTTCCCTGTCTCTCGTTACATAACACTCCTGCTTTGCTTCTCGGTTCAGCTGAGTGAGGATTTCAGATGATGGCCGCTTTTCAGAATGAGAAAAGTCCTTCATCCCCTCTGTGGCTGCAGGAAGTGAACCGATCAGCGAAGGGGCACGAGCATATCTGCACAAATAAAGCCAAATCATACTCAGTTCTTGAAAAATTGTGGAGGCTCTGAGGAATGTAAATATGGTGCTGCAGTTAAAGCTGCGGTGGAAGCGTTCAACTACACAAAATCTACCGCACTTTTATTGTCCATCAGGTAGGGGTGTTACAATATATCGTAATACAAAAAATGCAACAATATGTATCGTGGATAGTTCACCCAAAAATTACTGTTTGAAAAAATTCAAGTTTTCAGAGTTTAGTGTCAGTACTACATTAAACGGCTATATATAATGTATAATAATGCAATGGGGGAATATTTGTGGGTCCTGATAATGCCAAATGTCTTACGTTACCAGTAAAAAGTGTCCTACATGATTTTAAATATATCTAGCCAGTGAAAAAGTGCAAGCATATTTGTCTTAAATAATTCTGTATTTTCGGCTTCAGAATCATGAATTTTGTTATTCTGGTGTCTCTATTGTCCTGTGCTTTGGGTTTCCAGCTCCACGTCCAAGCCTATTCATTTACACAATGTAATATCATGTAAAAGCATTTTAATCAATTTTTTTGTTGTTAACCTTTTAACATATGTGTTGGAGTATCGCGAGTTCAGTATTGTGATATGTATCGAATCGTGACATGAGGGTATCGTTACACCCATCAGGTAATACTAATGACAGTTTCCAAGCAGTTTTCACAAACATTTCCCCCGCCTCCAATTTTTCCAGCCATTGCCAATATACTTTATACTATAACTGCATTTACTGTGCGGGGTCAACATATTACAAGCTGATATTTTCTTGGTCTAATATTTGTTACTTTTAGTAAAAAAAAAAGCCGAAAAAAACTTATATGAACCAGAGGATACTACAGCAAAAATATTTGAAATATATTATTTAGAATTTTTTCTAATAAGCCCCTTGAATTTATATAGCATTGAGGAAGGGGCTTGTATTGATAAATTATACAATAAAAGAGTCAAGCCCAATATTAGGGAAGCAACGGATCGTAGTTGTTTCCTGATCCATACGGACCAGTCTCCACGGTTCGGCACGCATGTGATTTGCGGATTAATTGCACAGTTTAACCATTATAGAGTAAATGTTTATCATTTGCACGTGTTTTGTCTGGGCAATTTACACATTCAAGCAATTTTAAACCATTCAAAGAGAATCGATTCCTCTTTCGTGTCTCCTTGCGCTTGAACGGACACATACACACAAAATTATGTCAAAATACCCATCTTGGCAAGTATTCTCGTAAACACAGACGATTATGTCTTAAGTGTATATAAACAGTTCAGAAAGAAATCAGATGTGTGTCATTATATTGGATCCGTGCACTCGGTCTTAAAGTGACAGCAGCCTATAAATACTTGCTGCTGATGTTAATCAAACAACAAAACAAAGATTACTGTAAAATATATTTAATTTATACAGTAACATCGTAATATTGTATTTATCTATGCTTGTATTTGTGACTGTTCACTTGTCTTTAATAATGTTTGGACTTTATTAGTTAGGCTAGTAGTTTTTGCTGTGGTATCAAAGTACTTAAAGTGTTAAGTAATTAATGGAAAGCAAAGTACCATTTGCCCCTGTCCCATTTTAATTTTTTTTTGGCTTGTCTGAAAAATGACGATCCAAAAATAATTAAAAAAATGTAATATGATTCAAACCGTAATATGATTCGTGAGTTTTGTGATCCGTTGCACCACTACCCAATATACATTCAAATTTAATAATAGTATTCAAGTATTTTAATTAAATTATATAATATAATTTATTTAAATAAATAATCAATTATATAATTATAATTAAATGGTGCCATTAGATTAAATAGCACAATGCCATTAACAATTACACAGACTATTTGTGTAATATTTGGCAACTAAAAATCATAGATTGCCGCATGTGTCAAAAAAAATGTAAACGCAGTCAAATGACAATTCTACGATGGCGACGGCGTATTTAAAAAAAACCTACAAATACAAAAATGTTGTTTGATAAAAGCAAACATAATAGTGCAGTTAATCTGCACTTCACACACATACAGGTCAAATTGAACCTTCTCTCTGCAGATATTACAAGTACCAAATAAAACAACTATAGAATTAAAGCTTACTGATCTTTTCGAAGAAGCACAAGCTATTTTTCTCTTTTCTCTCTGTGGATTCATGCTAATGGAGATCACCATTAAACACGCTGATTGTGTAGCAGGTCCAAAATGGAAACA